TATTACATTGTTTTTATAATCTTTTCTTTTTTAATTATTCTGGAGACATTAATATAGCTTTATGCTATGCGCTATTGTTCTATTATTCTAATTATACTAACAAAATGCAAAAAAAAAAAAGTAAACTCCCGATATCTCGAACGCTCGATAATTGGAACTTCCAGTAACTCGAACTAATTTTAAAACCCCGTTGACCCTTTATTTAAGGATTATACTCCCGATAACTCGAACATTCACTAACGCGAACTAATTTTTTGGTCCCTTGGAGGTTCGAAATATCGGGAGTTTACTGTAATACTTTTGTAATTGAAAATTGTAAGTTTTTTTTCATTTCTTTTCTTAGATATTAGCAGGCTTACTTGACTTTCCTTTTCTGATACCTGCTATTTTGTGACTTTTTATAAAGAACTGAACTGTACTACAGAACTTAACTATTAGCAATAACATTGCTGTTAGGAAGTCAAACTTGAAATATTATTTAGAGATAAATTTTATTTTTTTAATAATATATCAAGCTATTAATTCTATTGCTATTAAGCTATTAAATATTAGCTATTTAAGCTATTGTGTTTTTATTGTTATTAATAATTTAACTGCTTGATAATAATGCTATTGAAAGAAATAATAATGTTTTAACATGTCTTTTTAAGTCTTTAAAATGTGTTTTAAATTTTAGTGACTAAATATTTTTTAAAAGACTATCGATTGCATAATTATTTGGAAAAAAAATTGCTGAAGTAATGCATGTGTTTTCAAAAATTTTGAGCAAACACAACCATTTTTCTACACGTTTCTATATTTTGAATATGCAAAAATAGATGTTAAAAAAAAAAGAATTTTTGAAAATAAAAGTCAAAACTAGTTTTAACAATTGTTAAAAATAAACAGATTGTAAAAAATAAAAGTCAACAAAAAATGTTGTATTCAAATTTTCACGTTTTAAACTATTTTTTCAATTATTTTTAAAAATCTTTTAAAAGATTATTTTTTAAAGTTTAGCTTTTAATTATGAATAAGTTAAATTAAATCTCTCAATTGCAATGAAATGGTTTAATTGCTTTTTTTTTTATTTCTCTGTTTAAAGAGAATTGTTTAAAAGTACACGTTCTATGTTGATTTTCTTAATTGAAAACTCAATCCGCTTTTTAAGTTTACCTAGATTTTCAGCTTGCCAGTTTTTATTATACACTTATCTCTTAAGTTCAGGCCAAAATTCTTCAATTGGACGTAATTCAAGCACATTAGCAGGATTATGCTCTTTTGGTACAAATTCAATATTTTTCGCTTTTAGATAACCTTGCACTTTACGCGAATAATGTGACGAAGCTAGATCAGTCCAAAAGACAATGTTGTCATTTCTATGATGTTTTTCAATGAATTACTCTAATCTAACAAGACATTTTGAAATATACACATCTTTATTGACTGCTTGGCCTGACGGAGCAATGTACTGCTGAGAGATTCCTTTCGTCAAGAATGCAATCCAAACAAGTAATTTTGGCTCAAATTTGTCTTTTACTTTTAACTTTACATCATTTGATGCTGTATTTATGTCAGAAGAATAGAATCCAGCATTTCCAGAAATATTGGTGTTGCTCAAATAAAAATACAATTCATTGTCAATAATAACTACTTTTTTCCTAAAAATCGAAACCAATCTACAGCACTTTAAACGAACAGCTGCTTTTTGAGTTGGTGTTCTTTTAGGTGTTTTAGTTTTTTTTAAGATAATGAATACTAGTTGTTTTGTGAATAATTTTGCATATGTTCGGTTGCCATAGACGGAATTGTTTTGCAAGACCACGCTATGAAATGCCATACTTTTGATCAATCAAATTTTTAAGATGCTTTATCTCTTTTGCAGACATCTTCTTTGCTTTGTGACCACTTCTAACTTTTCTTTCTGGTCCTATATTATTATCCTTTCTTTGAATTATATTATAAATAGTAGATTTTGGTATGAGCTCCATTTGAAAATTATTTACAATAAAGCTTTTATTCTTATCTGGATACAAATCCAAAAATGCATACACTCGTTTTTTAAGAAAGTCTTCGTTACAAGTCTTTTTTTCATTTTTAATTATTACTAAATAATTTTTTTTTTAAATAATACATTTAATGAATTAAATTTGTAACAAAATAGAAGTGATTGCAATTATATTAAATTATTCCTTCATATTTTAATATTTACTCAAACTTTGTCCAGATTTTTAGTTATCACATGTTAGCATTCATATTGTTCTATATTCTTAAAATGTGAACATACTTGATATTAAAAGTTATCACATTAAAAAATTACTGATATTTTAATAAGTTCTTCATGCTTTACTGGGTACATTTGACCATTTCATGAAGACTGTTGAACATGTGAAAGTGGGTGTTTTTCCCATTCCTAAATGTCAATTTAACAGACACCATTAACCAAATGTGGATCATCTGATCAAATTATTTTCGACAAAATTGTTTGATAGATTATACAAGTCAAAACCATTCTGCAAATTTTGGTATGAAGGAGGTCATAATAAATATTGTCATAAACAAAATGTCTCTAATAACATTTTATCTGAGATGACACATATTTTAAAATGTTAACATATGAATAAATTATGTTTTTTAGTACTTCTTTTGATAATTTTTTTTTTTTTGTCATTGATGTACCTATGTTATCTTTGTATTATAAAATATACTCATATTTGTAAACATTTATACATACTTTTGTTATGACCAATAAAAAGCAAAATTTACACAGAAAAATCTTTCTAAAACATTCTTAATCAACTTCATAGCACTTTCTGTTCAAAAATTATGAACCAATCTCCATGAAAACAGCTGTTTGGCTCATTGTGCCACAGCCTCCCTCAGGACCCTCTGTTCATCTGCCCTGGAAATAATTTTAACACTTATTTATTAGGACTACAAAAATGCTTAAAGTTTTCAGTTTGTCTGAAAAGTAATGAAAAATGATTCCACAAGATTCCACTATAAAAAAGTGAGCTAATGATCCAGCCCCCCCCCCCCAGGTGTCTTGGGCCCTGAAAACAATTTTAACATGCATGTTTATTGGTACTACAGAAATGCCAAGGGTTTCAGAGCTCCAGCTAGTCTGGATGTTAGTGAAAAATCAATTGCAATGCTGTTACAAAAAAATGGTGATCGTACCATGTATCCATATACAGAAATCCATATATTTGCAGATCAAAACTATATATTTTTTGAAAGATCAATGAATATAGAATGTGTAATATTAATTTTTTGATATCATCAAGGCCACATAGGTTTCTTGAGCATCAAAACCAGGTATTTAAAAAATTGCATAAACTTATTTAAATTTATAAATATAGGTACTTAAAATTTTTTTTTTACATTTTTGACCATTTCATTGGATTTGCCACCACTGAAAATAGCCAAGTGCAAACTTTTAAGTAAAAAGTATTTTTAAAGTTATGTAATTTGAAATCTATAAATAAATGTTGCAATTCTTAGGGGACAAAAGGGGCCAGGCAACTATCTGTTAAAAATAAAATAGTCATATGTCAGGATTTTCTTGGAGCCATACGCTAAAATTTTCAAGAAATTCTTATTTTATCAAGTACTTTCAATTGTATAAAAATCAGCATAATCTGAGATATAGGGGGACATTTTTAAAATTTCTGGGTCATTTGACATAGAACCATCTTCTAGCCATCTAACAAAATCAATGCTGGCTCTAAGATCAGGCTTTGTTTTAAAGCGTTGAGCATAGAGCAATTTACGTACGTCTTAAGCAATTATTACGTAAACAGTAAGCGATTTTGGTTAAACGACTTTTTATCATTTTTTAACTTTTAAATTATACTATAAGCGGTAAGATCAAAGAAGTAATTTATTTTTAAAAAAGTCACATTAACGAATGACATTTTTGTTAAAATATTTCTTACAAAAGTTTGAATGACAATTATGTTTGATATAAGCGCTATTTAAATAATAAATTTTTTTATTACTAAATATTTACTAATGAAAAAAACTCAAAAAAAATTTAAAGTATTTTATTTTGATTTACTTTATTGTAATGATTGATTTTTTAAGCTTGAAGCAAAGATCATAAAAACATAATTTAATTCTGGTATATGATTTTATTTAATATATGATTTAAATTAAAACTAATTTAATAAAAATAAATAACTTTATTCTGATAAAAAAAATATATAATTTAATTTAGATTTAAAAAATATATAATTTAGTTTTGATATAAAAAAATATATTTAAGTTTATTAAAATTAAAGTTAATGCTTGGGTTTAATTTAACTGCCAAATCTATTTAAAAGTATTACTAAATATTGTTCAAATTTTAAATTTTATTTGTCTTAAAAAAAAAATCAGCTTATTTCTATCGCAATTGTTTTTCTGTTTTCCTTCTTAAACATTTTTTTTACTCAAAATTCAATTTTAAATAAAAGGCTGCATCAAAAGTTTGCACAAAATGTAAGTTCAACTTTTTTTTTATAATGCAAGTTAATTCACAGCGATTATTTTTAATAAACGATATATTGAGTGATGCAATTTTAATAATAAAATAATGAACTAATAATCTTTAAATAAATAAAGTAAATAAATTAACGTAGATTTTTTTATTTGTTACTCGCTAATTTTTTTTTTTTTATTATTTTAAAAACTCAAAAATTTAACTATTTTTATTTATTTATGCAAATCTCAAGAAAAATTTTTGTTAATATCAAACATTTTTAAAAATGCAATATTAAATTTAATTATTTAATATTAAAAAAATAAAATAAAAGATAAACATTCCTTTATAGTATTAATAAAAATTTTGTTAAATAACATTTAACTTGTTTTGCGGTAATTAATATTATTACAGTAATTTAAAAAAGTTAGTCTTTAAAAAATTAAAAAATAAAGAGAAATTTATGAACAAAAACATCAAATATCGCATTAAGCTAATGCATTAAACATTTTTTATTTAAAACGAGTACTGTAAGATTATATAAAACTGTATTCATTACCTCTTTGTCTTTTGCTGCGGGAAAAATTTCAGAGGGATGTTTCATCATTGGTCGAGCATCTTTAGCAAACAAGCGGCTGGGTAAAAGATATTTGATAGCCTCATCTATGTCTTTTTGAGTAAATGTATCAGCATTTTCACCCATCATTTTGGCTAGCCATCTTTTTCCTTCAAAAAAAATTTATATTATTATGGTTTTAAAGAGAGGTCAAAAAATAAACTTTTTTTTATTAAACAGTAATAATGCAAGTATATATATTTATTCACTACTTAGTAGTAATTTAGTTTTATTGATAGTTTCCTATTGCAATCTATTTCATACATTTATACTTCATATATTGCTTGATGTTATTTGATATCATAACACAAGTCTAATTAAATGTGTTTTGTTTTTTTACACTAAAATTAAAAAAAAATCATACTTTAAAACTTTGTTATCATCGTTATATAATCTTTTTCATAAATAGCTCAATTTGATTAGATCAATCATGAACTTTATTGTTAGTAGTGACCATGAAAAGAGTGGCCTATTTTAAAATAGAGTAGGAATAAAACCTTCTTTACCTACCTAAATTTTAATGATTATATAACCTATTTGTTAAAAAAGAAAATTTTTAGCCTGTGAAAAAATAAAAAATAATATTATCCAAAATTATCTTTTAAAATAATTTAAAAAATCTTCCAAGTTATTTGTTATTTTTGTTTTAAATATTATTATTTTCAATGTTCATATATTCACACTTGTGTGATATAAGAGGGTTCCATAATGCTTTTTTCTTATATGAAAATAATAAAGAAAAGTTAAAACTTATTTGATCAGGAATGAGTATTTTCATTGTGATACTAATACAAGGAGGATTACCATACAAGATTTACAAGCTTCTCCTACCATTACCCACAATTAAAATGTGGGTTTTATTTCAGAGTTTTCCTACTCCTAGGTAAGCTCTTTATAGCTAGAATCTCACCTTCCCCAATAAAAAAAATCAGTTAAGCATCGATGCCAGGTTACAATTATTTTGTAAAATTCTATAATAACAAGGAGTATTATAATATTATATACCATAACACTTTTACCTATTTCATAATTCTCAATCTCTTTACTCATAAAGTCATCATTTTTTATTTGCTTTTCATTTTTTCCAGTTATCTGGCTACTTTGAACAAATCCACATCTTTGAATAGTTTGGTGTAAGCCGTCTTGTAAAGATTTTACAACTGAAACTTTATCCAATAATTTTAGTAAAGGTCTGAACATCTTTATTTCATTCTTTCAAACAACAAAAATATTAAGCATTAAAATAAAATAAAAAAAGAATGTTAACTCTTTAAATATAAAAATATAGTAATTTTAAATATATAACTAGTTAAATATATATATATATATATATATATATATATATATATATATATATATATATATATATATATATATATATATATATATATATATATATATATATATATACACACATAATATATATATATATATACACACATAATATATATATATATATATATATATATATATATATATATATATATATATATATATATATATATATATATATATATATATATTATGTTAGTGAACTCTACAAATAGAGTGTTAAATGTTCTTAAAGAACAGAGCAAAAAAAAATTAGAAAAAAATTAGATAAGTGTTTTTACTAATATATACATATTATATATATATATATATATATATATATATATATATATATATATATATATATATATATATATATATATATATATATACACACACAAACATATGAATAACCTAAAACAATGTATTGTATGCAAGCATTGCTTACTAAACTGTAGTGATTATTATTTAACAAATAACTTAAAGCATAACTTAAGTTAAATTTACATAATTTATACAAAAAAATAAATAAAATAAAAAATCTGAGTATTTATAACTTTCAAAATATTTGGAGTGGCTATAAAATAATACAGTATTTAGAAATAAAGAAAGATTAAAAAAAAAAAAAAAAAAGAAACACTTTCTATTAATGTCGAAAATAATAATCTATTGCTGTAGAAAATGCCGCAAAACCAGCACAACCAAACACAGCAGCTTGTGGACCAGCTCTTAATCCTAGTAGGCCACCTGTTAGACAACCTGCCATTGTCCCATTTCCAAGTTCAGTTTTACCTCGATAAGTTTCAATCATACATTCAGTAGCAGAAAACATTGCTCCAACAACAGCAAAATTTTTAGCATAAGAACCAGCACGATTTTTCATTTCTTTCAATATAACTTTAGCAGACTGCTCTTGATATCCAGTTACATAAGAGGGCATACTTGTATCTAATCCAGCAGTAAATAAGCCAAATGCGCCTCCTAGCGCATATCCTAAAGTATTAGATATAAACTTTTAGCAACCAAAATATGTTCTATAAAATTTTTAGCATATAAAACAAACTAAAAAGCGGTTTAAAAAAAATAACAATTAGAAAATAATCTACATTACATCACCTAAAACAAATGCCATTCCTGTTTTAAAACCACAATGCTCCATTACTCTTTCAATAATAACTTCCTCTTTCTGTTTAGTGGCACTAGGAATGCCAATATTAGGAACAAACCGCCCATTAGCACGACGAACTTCTTCAATCAAAGGTAAGATCTCACTTATTTGTATATTGGGGGGAGGGGGATCTCTAGCCATAAATTATGTAACTAAACATGAAAAAAATTCAAAAAAAAAAAGAGTAAAAACGTATATAAATCACTAGAACTCATATAAATCACAAAATGCTTTTATAGGAATAAAAGACATTATAATTGTAAAACTTATAAACTATACTTAATTACTAGTGACATTTAATTTTTACTAACTTAAGGTGATCAACTCACTTTTTTTTTACATAGAATGCACTACAAATATATAGTTATATATGCCTATATACTATAGCTTATTTTTATTACATTGGTTTATTTAGCGTATAAGAAAGAGGAAAAAAAAACAAAGAATAATGATAGAAAAGATTGCTGCTCTGGAAACATTTCTGTATATAGGCATTTTTTAAATAAAAAAATACAATGTAATTTGGACAATTACTTTTAACTCTGTCAAAAAGTAAATACTTCGACTATGTATATACTATGAATGCACTACACTATATATATATATATATATATATATATATATATATATATATATATATATATATATATATATATATATATATATATATATATCATACGTCAGAATACTTTTTTTTTTTGTGTATTGCGTATAAAAAAGTGTTCATATGCAGAGGATGTCGGTATATTGTACAACATAAGACAAAAGTCAAAGATACGGTAACTCTTTTCTTTTATCAAACCAAAATGCATTATACTGAGTTTTGTTGGTGAAAGTATGGTTTCTTAGAATATTTATAAAGGTATCTCTTTCTTTGTCAGCTAAGTGTTCAATGCTGAGTTCTGTTTTGTTGTATTTTATCTGATCCAATTCTATGCTTTGGTAAAACTGGTCAAAGGCGTCATTGTCAGGCACGCTTTTTTGAGTGAAACTATTTTTTGCATTTGCAGTCAAATCATTTTTTTCACTTTTTTTATTAAATTCAATTGCCAAGTTTAGTAATGAGCTTAGGCCTAAATTGACTGTGGCTTTGGCTATCGGTCTTTGATACCAAAGGTAAAGTTTAGAAAAATTTAAAACTGCAGCAGCTGCATAAACAGCAGAGTTAAGCTCATGATCAAAGTGTTTTTTTTACTCTTTAATCAACAAATCGCAAAATTTTTTCTATTTTTTTGTCTTTTTTAGCCATTTCCTCATATTTTATTTCTAACAAATGTAAACTTGGTACCAATATAATCACCAATATGTATGCGATTTTTCTGATTCAAAAGTGGAAATCTATATGCGGGGAACATCATTGATGAATAGAATTCAATCTCTGCTTGAGTAATTGAGTAACAATTTTTTTGATATGCTGTATAAAAATAAATCAACATTTAAAAGCTTGATGACCAACGAGTTAAATTTTCATTTCTTAACCTTTTTTTTTTTTTTTTTTTTGAAATATTCGAGCAATTTTAATTGTCTGATGAGTCTTTTTAGCAAATGAACAAAGCAATGACAAAAAATTTTCAATCGTTTGCATGACCTTACAGTATTATGTATAAAAATATTAAATTTGTGGTTTGCGCATGCAAATCAAGGGACTTTTCTGCTACCGAATTTAAACTCTAATTGATCGATAATACTATGATCCCCAAATTCATTATTTTCAGCATCATCAACTCCAGTCAACTTCAGCATCAATCTCATTAGATAATTTGCTTAACTTAATATCGTTTTGAGTTGGATTTATTTCCTCAGTAAGCAATTCGTTTATTTCAGAATCAATTTTATTTTCAGGTGAATCTTTCAATTCCTGGTCATTCTCATTGTTACCATCATTTTCAAACAAGCTCCCAAAAATCTTCTTCAATTCAATTACCAACTTCTGTAATACTTTATAGCAATAAATGCAAGTAAACTGTAGTTTTTCTGTCTTTCGAGGCTTAGAATCAATTTCTGTTCGGCAATGAAAAAAGTTCAAAACTGAGTTGTAAGTTTTTTCAGTGTCACTAAACTTGAAAATTTTACAATGAAAATTGTTGTTTTTTAATTTGTCTCGAATTTCATTAATCTCTTAAGCATATAGTTTAAAACTTAAATTTGTTGATGAAGGATTGGTTAAGCTTTTGCTGCACAAGGGTTGGTCTTGATTTTTTGAAATCAAAAAATCTAAAATAAAACTTCATATTAAACATTCAAACAATATCATTAAAAAAGAATTAGCTTAAACTATCTTGTATATATAAAAATAGCTAAGATTCAAATATTTTATTTTAATTATTAACAAAAATATTAAATCTAAATTATACTATTTGTTTATTATAAATAGAAATACAATTATTTACATCTAATTAGCTTCTTCTTTTTTTCTTATTATTTTGGCTAATATAAATCTATAGCCTCGTAAAAATAAAAAAACAAAATTAACAAATATCTTTTACACAAAATTACAAAATGTAATTTAATTTAAACACATCAAGCCATTGTTTCAAATATTTTTTCTTAAATATTTTTTTATAGAAATAAATTAAACGTTAACAATATAAATTCATTATAAAATAATAATTCAAATAAATAAAAACTTAAATATTGAAATAAAAACAAGTGTTCATATGTATCAAAAAAAGAACTATAGGCAGGCTGAGACACGATTTTAGCAGTATAACATGGAGCATTATTTTGGAATATAATACCCATATGGTTTTTAAAATGTTAATAGAAGACATTAAATAATTATCTAATCTCTCTAAATATTTTTCAAAATCTAGCCTTCCATACTTTGAAGTAACCAATACCTTCTTAGTTCATATATTACCAGATACTTATAACTGCCACTAATGTTTTTGTTTGTGTTGTGTCTGTAATGTTTCACAATTTCTCTCATTGAGAAAATTCATTCATATTTTCCAATCATTTTGACATTGCTGAAATTTTGTAGTTAATTAGATTCTAATTTTCATATTTCATTTTGCAATAATTTCTTAAATATTTATAACAATTTTAATAAAAAAAAAGTTTTACTTAAGAAAAAAATGAAATTATGAAAGAAGTTTGAAATAATAGATTGGATTGTTAATTTTGGCAATTATGTTAGATTACAAGATATGTGTCGGAAGAAAAAAAGATAACATCACAAAAATCATGCTGGCTCTTAAATATAGTTTTGATCATTATATATATATATATATATATATATATATATATATATATATATATATATATATATATATATATATATATATATATATATATATATATATATATATATATATATATATATATATATATATATATATATATATATAATATATATATATATATATATATATATATATATATATATATATATATACATATATATATACATATATATATATATATATATATATATATATATATATATATATATATATATATATATACATATAATTATATATACATATTGGAATTTAACTAGAATAAGGGAAAATCTAAGTAATAGTACTTGTCCCTATGCGGTACGGTAAGTAACTGCGTTATGCGGTATCCGGAATCTTGGTATTCCGAGACCGAGATGTCCGAGATGAGCGAGATCTGAAAGTATAGTGTCCACAAGGAAATAAAATCTAAATTAAAACAGTGCTTTATTTGAATAAACTTTTTATTTTATTCAAAACGTTAGCTTGACTTCACAAGTTGATTGTAGGCTATCAGTTTCCCGGAATCTTACGATTGATTTTTCACTACCTTTAAAAGCCTTGAAACTTCCAGCATTTGTGTAAATTTAATAAAAGTACGTTTTAAAATTATTTTCAGAGCCAACTCAACCTTTTTGAATCTCTTTTTTTTTTTTTTTTTTTTACTTTATCTTTCAGACTTTACTTTGATTTTACTTTTGTACAAGATCCTATCAAATTTATTGTAAAATAAATGTAAATTTACTCACTTTATATAAATTATTTTTAATTTACTTTGCAAATTACGTAAAATGTAAGCCTAAGTAACTTATATTTTATTTTATATAACTTGTTTTTAATAAAGAATTATTATTACTTTTAAAATAAAAAATTCCTACTTTAAAAATATTATTTTATCGGTAAATTAGTTTCTTTTATCGGTAAATTTAAATTTTTTACTTACTTTTACATGTAAAAGTAATTTACTTTTTGATGTAATCTTTTTTTATATAACTTACTTTTGAAAGCAAAAAAAATTACTTTATAAAGTAAAAGTCGTTTCAAAAAAATTAATTACTTATACGGTAGGGTGACCATTGTTCCGATTTTTACGTAGGAGAGTGCAGCGCAAAAGTAATTAAAATTACTTTAACGCTTCGCTCTCTAACGTAAAAACCGGGACAATAGTCACCCTATTGTACGCAAATATAAAATTACACAAAACGTTTATAATTACTTAAGTAATTTACTTTTCGATAAAAATTAACTTACTTGTGTATGTAAAAAAATGTAAGTAAAAGAGTCATCCCTAGTTTTATATCATGCTTAGAATTGAATTAGTAAGTTAATCTGAAAAAAATAAATAAAAAAATATATAAATGCATAAATATAAATGCTTCTTATAGATCAACGTAAATTTAAAAAAGTAATTTTTTAGTATGTAACCATATTGAGAAAACTTAATTTTTACTCACGTTTACTCAATGAACGAGCACGACAATAACGGAAAAATCATTAGAACAGAAAAAAATTTGTTAATTTTTGTTCAAATCTTTTAGTAATTTAAAAAAGTTTAAAACTCATCTCAAAACATTATTTAAAAAAATATTTATTTGAGAAGACATATTTGCTTGGTTACGGATTTTAACATAAACCTGATTAAACATCCAATATAAATGTTAAGAATTTTATAAATACTCTTTGGAAAATTAACTCCAAAAATAAACAAGAAGAAGTGTCAAAAACAACAATCAACCAGAGTAAGAAATAGCATTTTAACTCTACTTAATAACATCATAAGAAATAGTTTTTGCTATAACCGTAATTACACCAGTGACAGATCCAGCATTTTTTGGTCGTTGAGATAGCTAACTTACAGACATAGAGAAAACTCCAAAAAGTTCTATGTTTATACTTATGTCAAATAAACTTTGTAAAAATATTGCGATGATTGAAGCCTGGGAATAAAAAAGTCCTAAAATTTTTTGTCTCCCATCTGCCCCAAACATGAGAGCAACAAATTGATAAATTTTTTTGTACTATTCTTAACTATACTAATATTTATCAATAAATTTTAAGTTTCATACTATAATTTCTCAACGTTTGAAGATCATTACTATATAAAGTTTGTAACCCCCTAGAATTGATAATACAATGATATTAAAACTTGCAGATGAATATAAGTTTGATTGAGAATAGTACAAAAAAAGTTTTATCAACTTGTTCCTCTCATGTTTGGGGCAGGGGGAAAAAATTGTTGGGTTTTTTTGTTCACAAGCTCTAATCGTCGCCATATTTTTTGCAAAGTATTTGACATTAAACAAGTATAAACATATAAATATTTGGAGTTTTTTTCTCTAGAAGATTTAGAACTTTTGCTAGCTCATTATAGTTTTTCTAGCAAGAAATCCTCGTTGCTAATTGTTGTCTTTATCGCTACGAATGTTGCTAGCCGATTTCCCACCGAGTATTTGGCTTATATTTGAAGCAGACAAAACTGATCCTTGCAAAACAGTTCTATGTGTGATTTTAATTGAACATACAAACTTTATTAGCGGAAAATGTTTCCAGATTTGTTAACAAAAAGAAAACTAGAGCATTTTAAGTTTTCTTCATGTCTCAAAGGTTAAAAAAATGCTGGATTGTTTTACACAGGTAAAATTTAAACCAACCTATCGAATCATTTTCCTACAATAAGCTTAGCTTCTTGTACCTACATTATAATTAACAATATTGCTTCTAAATCCACTGTCCACCAATCAATGCAAACACTTTAATACAATTTAAGAACTTTTTATTAAATTCCTAATATTAAAACTTTGTATTGAAATTAAGGCAAACAATCCATACCTTGTTCCTTAATCAACTTTGAAAACGATGTGAAATAGTGTTATAATATAATAAAACAATATGAAATAGCGTTTCCGAGAAAAAAGTTAGAAATACCGTCACTTTCAAACTCCCTGACTATCTAAAAACTTATTTAAAACCTTAAAAAATAAATCTAAGTTATATATAAAATAACTTTAAAAAAGATATAATAAAAATAAAATAATATAAACTTTATAAAAATAATCTATGATGATAATTTGGCTTTTATTGAATATATAATTTAAGAAAATCAAAAAAATACTCAAAAAAGCGTTATTATGCTCCTTAATTAAAACGAGATGAAAAACTAAAAAATATGGAATGTAATTATGAATTAATTGGGAAAAGATAATTAAAAATAAAATACTTGAAGACAAACCTATGTTGTTGTCACAAGCATAGAAAGTGTTATTGTCGCAAAGTTGCATATATCAGATTTTTTGATAAATATGAAAAAATTATTTATAAAAATATTTTTAAAAATTGCTCCCAATATTGAACTTTTAAACACTCCAGATTCAATATCTAACTACCACGAAAACAAAATTCTTAATCTCACCGTCTATTTACGAGCAGAAAGGTAAGAGAACCCAAAAAACAAAGAAAGTGAAAATCTTATTCTTACCGTCTATTTACGAGCAGAAAAGTAAGAGAACCTAGAAAACAAAGAAAATGAAAATCTTAATCTCATCGTCTATTTACAAGCAGAAAAGTAAGATAGTAACAGTGTAAGGTTTTCATTATAAAAGCCATAAAATATAAAATAAAAAATTTTAAAAGCTTCTAGTTCAGCTAAAATTAGGGATGTCAAATGTCGGGCTTTTGCGAAGGAATTTTAATTCTTATAGATTCGGAACTGTATTCTCCTACGTATAAGCCAGAAATCTGCCAACTTAGCTAAAAGCAAGTCATAAGGGATTAGGTGATATGCTTTATGACAAATCTATAAACATAGAATCAACTATCCTTTCTTCATCTAAACATTTCAAACACTTTTAGTAAATTGAATAGCGCGTGGTGTTCACCATACCATTTCCAAAAGTCAAACAACACAACATATAAATGTTAGGCAGCCATGGTGAATGGTTAGAGTTTTCGGTTCGAAACTGGAATTTTGTGGTTTGAATCGGCTCTGGCTAAACATGCATCATTGATAAGGTCCCAGTTAAATGCTATTCCGTGGTGCTCTGTGGTAAGACCGTTAGGACTTCTTGGAGTACCTAAATAACTAAATAAAAAATAACAATAAATAGCAAAAATATGGTAATAATATTTAGTACTAAACCTTTTCTGAATATAACAAAAATTAACGCGCTTTTTGTTAAATTGATTTACAAAGCCGTCTGCGACTATAGTAAGTAATTAAAGTGATGATATGTAATAATAATAGTATATTATATGGCATTGGTATAAATAAGTAATACATTATAATGTGAACTTTTGCTAGCTCATTAATAGTTTTTCTAGCTAGAAATCCTTGTTGCTAATTGTTGTCTCTTTCGCTACGAATGTTGCTAGCCGATTCCCCACCGAGTATTTGGCTTATATTTGAAGCAGACAAAACTGATCCTTGCAAAACAGTTCTATGTGTGCTTTTAATTGAACAAACTTTATCAGCGGAAAATGTTTCCAGATTTGTTAACAAAAAGAAAACTAGACTAGAGCATTTTAAAAATCAATCAAAACAATTGTCACTTATGAATTTTAATAAATCAGACTTTATATATTTTTTTTAGTCTAAGCTCAATCAAATAAAAATAGATTTAATTATAACAATGAACCGTTCAATAAGTTCTTTATCTATTTAGTGATGGTGTTACTTCTGAAAAATTTTTACTTTTTTTTTAATTTTAGTTTTTGTTTATAAATTTTTTTAAACATTTTAGCAATTGTAATGATTTTAGCACTGCATTGTTATTTGTTTTATTTTCTATTTTTCATATATATATTTTTTTTTATTTTTCCTAGTTTTTCTAAATTTCATTTTTATATATATTTATATGTTATAGTTATGTAAAATATTTTAAATAAATCTCAACAATAAAGCTGTGTCTTCTTTCTTGCTCAAGAGCTTAAATTTTATGCAACTTTGCCTTCTTCTTGCCTGATTTTTTTGCAACTTTTCTTTTTTCTAGCTTCAACCGTTAATTTAAAATACCAAATTATAATACTATTTATATAACTTTTAACAAATTTAAAAAAAGAAACTTATAATTAAAAAAAAAAAAACTTTCTTAAATTGTTAATATATATATAAAATGTTAAATAGAAAATTTAATCAGAATCAAAACACTAATAAAAAAAAATCTCCGCTCACATAAGTTCTGAGGATGGATTAAAAAAAAATGTCTCCGCTCACATAAGTTCTGAGGATGGATTAAAAAAAAATGTCTCCGCTCACATAAGTTCTGAGGATGGATTAAAAAAGTTGATCAAACTAAACTCGGTATACAAATTTAATAATTATTTTAAGTATTATATAATTATTCATATAATTTGTAAAATAAAAATTTATTGCATACTTATAAGCAAAATGAAAACAAAATGCAGAAAGTGTTTATAAATGTCTCATGCCTCAAAATGCCTTTTGCTTGAAATAGTCGAGTTTAGGTTTTCATTAAATTTTCAGATAACTTAAAATTATCTTATAGGAAAAAATCTGAAAATTTAAAGCGGTTTAAAAGTTATTGCGGTTTGAAATTTCATAAAAACAGGGCCGACGACACGGGTTTCGAAGTGGTGGGGCACAATCGTCAATTCTTAAAAAAGTCTTCTAAATCTAGAATTTTCTTAAGAAAAAAAAAAAAAAAACAATAAAGGAAGCGATTTGGCTACAGATTTGTCGTTGTAGACAAATCGCAGTATAATAAGTTCAATTATTATTAGTAATATATTAAATTTAATAGTAAAAATCAAATTTTTTTAAGAAGAAAAAGACAAAATGAAGCAATAATGTGAGAAAAACACCCGCTGAAAATTATTTTTATAAAGCTAGCTATGTGTAATGTAAATTATAAATAGTTTTAAAAACATATAATATAAACGATATAACAATATAGTAATATGTATTTAAAAAAATAAATTAAAAAACTAAAATGAAAATGTAAATTTTTTTTAGTGTATTAATATTATTATAATTAATTTATTTTTTATGATTAATAAATTCAGGGAGTTATAGTAAAATCCATAGATTAAACTTCTAACCGAGACCAACCAATTATCAAGTTATCTAATAATAAATCTATCAAGTTATCTAATAATAAATAACAATTGGTAAATGTTATTATTAACTACCTAACCTAATAACAACTTTGTTTTTTTGTATCAAGGGTTTTTTAAATGCAGGATATTTGCATTTAGATACAACCACTCATCGAAGTCCTTGATTTATTGAGAATAATCAGATATGTTCGGTATTTTTTTTTACAAGCAAAACAGTTGATATCACTTTTTTTTATAAAATGATTTTATGTTATTCACAAAAATTTTATGAACCTCTTTAAAATTGATTATTTCAAGTTGCTGATTTTGCCTTATTCTTATGAAAAAATAAAATCAATAATTAAAAAAATAGTTAATGAACAGTATTGTTAAAACAACTAAAAAGATATTTATATTCAAAAAGATATTATATTTCACCAAACTAAATATTCGAACAAAAACAATCTCAATGATTAATTTCTTCTAGTTTTATGAGATAGTCTACTTGTTCAAATCAATCGAGCATCAGGAGATTATTAGATGAAAGTAAAAAATGTCCTCACATGAGGCAATAAGTAAATTTTTTTAAGGTAAATTAAGAGAGAGGACAAAAATATTGGGTATTTTGTTCGCATGATTTGTTTATTAACAGTTACTGTCATTTTTCTATGTTGCAATAAAGTCCGTAGGACACAAAGTTTTCGAAACTCCCACAGCTATTATTTCCTGCATTTTTTTTGCTTCATTTACTTCATTTAAAAGCTCTAAATTGTTTTATAAAGGGCCAAGTTTTAAAGTAAAAAGTAATTAAAAAAACAAGAGATTTTATTTATTTATTTTAAACTCGGAATAGACATTGTTAAGAAGAAAAATTAAAAAAAAAACAGAATGAAAAGAGATAGATTGTTATAATTTAACATTAACTTTGAAATCAATAATATTATTTTATTTATTTTTATTTTTAGTATTTGCAATTGATAATTTGAATATTATTATTTATACATTACTTAAGTTATAATACTAAAATTAGTGATTAGCGAGGTACATGGTACGTAATGATAGCAAGGTACATGGTAGGGTAGACCGGGACATGATGACTACGTTAACAATTTAAGTTGTTTATTACTTTATTTTAAGGATAGTAAAATTAATTTTAGATGAACTTTTAGATTAACTATTTGTGGCATTAAATATATTACAATGTAATTATTTAAATGAAAGAAATAAAGGATTATTTCATTTTCCACAACCATATCAAATTTTCATTTTGCCCCAGTATCGGGGCAAGATGATTTTAACCTTGGGGCAAAATTACAACACTAAAAGAAAAAGTTGAACACATTTTTTTTATTATGTCACATTGTTTAACAAATGATAAGTTTTGCAGCTATCGTTTTGCTTCAGGCAATGGTTTTAAATCAAAAATACTGACAGGTTTATTTGGTGCATCGGATTCAACATATCATTACGTACCATTTACCTCGCTATTATTACATAGGGGAGACCGGGGAAAGATGACGAGCGGGGCAAGTTGAAAAATGTCATTAATTTTCAGTTTTTTGCTAGGTGGCAGCACTAATCAGACACTACTAATTCTCCTATAGACTTTTTGTTAAAAAATAGTATAAAGCAAAGCTATTTTAATTAGTAGTAATTAAAATAGTAACACTTTAATAAATTCGCTATAATTTTGTCGAACTAAGTTTTAATTAAATTTGTATTGATATTAGGAATAAAGTTATTGTGCAATATTTTGACCTTTTCTTCCCTGATTTTAAAGCAGTGTTGTTATTAACTTGAAGTCGACTAATCGAAAGTTGAAATTAGTCAACTTTGAAAAACCAAATAGTCGATTTAATTGACTATCGATTTTTTACTAATTGACTTAAGTCGATTTAGTCGAGTATTAGTCTAAACATCCTTTCATCTTTTTATTCGATTTAATTTTTAGTTTTTGTTTGTTCATTTAATAACAATAGCATCTTTTGTTAAAACTCGCTTGACTTTTGTTTACTCTTTTAAAGTTTTAACTAACTCATCGCATCGTAGCATTATTTACACCTACTTAATGTTTCAGTTATGTGTTTCCTTTATTATTTTTTTCTCAGTTTACTCTCTCTTTGAGATTTGTTTACATTGTTAATGTGATTGCATAAACTTTTTGATATTTAGCAAGAATTTAAGGTGTCTCTAAACCATTAGGGCCTGGGGGTAAAGTTTCTCATTGTCGGAGCGGCCTTGTTTTCATATTGTTTTGTTCCATTAATATTTAAGTGATTTGACATTAAAAAATAAAGGTTTATTAATTTTGTTACATTTTATTTCGAAAAAAAAAATTTATTCCCATATTTCGACTAAATCAACTAATAGTCGACTTCAAAATTGTATTATTCAAATTTTAATTTTAAATTTTAGTGGACTTAAGAAAATATATTAGTCAATTTAATCAAAAGTCGAAGTATTAAAAAAAAAAGTAAAAAAAAAGTAAAAAAAGTATTAAAAAGTCGTAAAAATACTATTTTAAAGTTAAATTTAATAATTTTATTATTTCTAATGATAACTTAAATCCCAGTGGGAAAAAGGACGTCGAAAAGACGTCTTTAAAAGTCTTATTTACGATGTCTTTAAGACGTCTTTTCTTAATCGATTATGTAAATCTAAAAGACATCTTTTTTCAACATCGAAAGGACGTCTTTTTTTATCCTAATCTTGTCATGAAAAGACATAAAAAGTGCGTCTTTAAGACGCCTTTTTTTAGTCGAATATGCAAATCTAAAATACATTTTTTTTCGACATCGAAAAGACGTCTTTTTTTGTCATGAAAAGACATAAAAAATGCGCGTTTAAGACGCCTTTTTTTACTCGAATATGCAAATCTAATAAAGTGTTTTTTCTCGGGGTCGGAACGACTTTTTTGCCATACTTATTAGTATACTAAAGTATTCTTTACACTATAGTATTCCTACTTTTCTTATATGAAAAGCTATTTTTTTCAAATGAAAATGACAATAGCTCTTTATACAAAGTATGACAAATTCCGATGCCGAGAAAAAAACCTCTTTTAGATGTCAATATAAAAGAGGAAACATCTTTTATATATTTAAATATAGGAGAATAATTTATAAATAAAACAATAGTATTGTTCAACAGAATATTTTTTCATCTTTCTCTTTCTTTTCTGTTTCTTGAGCGAGCTCTGTTTCTTGGCGTTGTTGAATAAAATTAACAAATTCACGTTGAGAAATCCTTTCATACGAGCAGGTTACGACTTCTAGCTGGTTACCACTTCTAAAAAACAAGTGAACATAAAAAACAGTCTATTGCTTAAATGTAATGCAAAAAAAGCAAACGAAACTTGATTAGCTGAGTAGAGCACATTATACTTACCAACTATTAATTCAAAAAGGGCTGATCCCTTTAATCCACTCATGTTTCCAGCGCGGTGCCTTCTTTTTGAACCCACTAGATTAGACAGGAGTCAAACGGTTAACAGTCTAAAAATATATAAAAATGAGCGTGCTAAATAAATTTACAACCATCAAAATGACTGTACAACGATGTATTTTATTATGTAGTACTTAAATCAAGCTAAACATTTGCACCTCTCAGATTTACTATGAAAACCAAGTTATTGAAAACAGATATTGATATTTTTCTGTCTTCTATAACATGATTTTTTAATTAAATTTAATTCAAATAAAAAATCATGTTATAGAAGAAATAAAGTATTGTAGACTCATAACAATTTAAAAATCCGTTGTTGACTAAAGACTATCAAAACAAAAACATACACCTTGAGAGTTGTTACTCATTTAAACTGGAAAAAAGTATTAGTCAAAGCACTATTTTAGCCTGAAACATAAGGATGCTTTACTTAACAACATAAAATCATAAAAACTGGCGATATCATTAGCAACACAGATGAAATACACATAAACAAAAATGAAGACTAGAAAGCTGCAATGATGTTTAGATATAAGAAAGTGTACCTTTCCAGTATCATTTTCACTTGGTTTTTTGTATCCAAACGAAAAATTTTGCGAACATTTCTAAAGATAAATCTGTTGTCATTATGTGTATTTTTATAATTGCTTTGTTAATGACAGACAACAGTTAACAAGGAATTAACATATTTAACATAAAAGTTAAAGAACCAATCTTTTGTATAAACAATTTCATCATTCAACTAAATAAAAACAACAAAATTATTCAGATCATTTAAAAATATAATAATAAAAAAAAAAAAATTGCAAGTCAACTGAATGCTTCTTTTTTTCTATTATTCGTTTCATTGGCACTTGAACAAGTAAATATAGAGAGAAATTGTTTACAGGTTTTATTTTTCGTCTGAAAATAAATATTTTAATTTAATATGTAATAAACAACGTTTTTCAAACACAATACATTAAAAAATTAGTCTCAAAATAAATGGTCAAACTTTTTTAAAACACTTACCTGCGACTAACTTAATTGAGACTAGATCATATCGATACCATCTTACTAGCACGACGCCATCTACTTTTGCTTCTTCCGATTAACATTTTTTAGCTAAGTAGCTGCAATTGTATATTTATTTCAGTATATATATATATATATATATATATATATATATATATATATATATATATATATATATATATATATATATAATACATACTATAATATATATATATATATATATATATATATATATATATATATATATATATATATATATATACATACTATAATATATATATATATATATATATATATATATATATATATATATATATATATATATATATATATATAAATATGCATTTATATTATGTATATTTTACATAATATATTATTTTGTTATATAAATTATTAAATAAACCCGCTTACCGAAAAAAAGTTAATTTTTAATTAAATTTCCTATGCAAAAACGTTTCACATAAAAGTTATATAAAAGTATTTTGTAAACAAAATAATTAAAATAAAAGTTATATAAAAGTATTTTGTAAACAAAAAACGGGCCAATCAGAACGTATCAAAAATATCGTAATTACGATACTGTGGGTTAAAACTCATTTTTGTGAGGTTCGATTGGCAATAATTATTTTTATTTTCTTAAGCAAATAATAATTTTCTTATTAACAACCGATTGACGTCTTTTCGACCTCTTTTCAGCCAAAACAAAGACGTGGAAAGACGTCTTTTTAAAAGACGTCTTTCCACGTCTTTATTTTGGCTGATTATAAAAAGACATAACAAGTCATAAAAAAGACGCCTTTTATTCGTCTAAAGATGTCTTTTTTCCCACTGGGATACTTGTACTATAATACTATTATATTTTTTTGAAATCGTTAACTTTTTTTTATTATTTAGAACTAGTTTATTTTACTTTTAATATTAAGTCTGTTCACTTTTGTAATGTTCTGGCGACAAAACATGAACGATATTCAGGGCGGGATTGTTTTTTGATGTTTGCGATAATTGTTTTATTTGGGATAATTTGGGAAAATTGTTGTTTGGTGTTTGGAATAGATAACTTCCAGACATGGAGCAAACTCAAAACATTTATTGGTTTTTTTATATTGTCAAATAAGAATGCTTTGTAAAAAATTGTGATGAATAAAGTCAGGGAATAAAAAAGCATTGAAATTTTTGAGTTAGTTACCACACATTTATTGAATTAAAAATTACGCAACTAGATTTCTTTCGATGAGCTATTACTTGTAAAACTTGACAAAATAACATTTTACAAGTAAATTAGGTTACATGCTAAAATATTACATTTTTAGTGAAAAAAAAAAAGTAATTAAAAACAGAAATAAATTTGTTTTGAATTGATTTGAAAAAAATCTTTGAAAGAAAAAAATATCTTTTTATGAAGTTTTGTCAATAAGGTAATGAAGTCTATGTACTGACTTGATTTTCAATTTGTAAGCGTGTGATTATTTAAAAAAGAACTGGAATGACAGCAGCCATGTAAGATAGATAGTATTTAGATAAAAAATTCTGAAATTGAAAAATAATATATAGAAGATTGCGTAAATGAGTTGCTATTATAAATGACGCAGTTTTTCTCGGAATGGCTAAAACGTATACAAACTAAAAATAAACTTTATATTTAGTTTCTTTACGTGTATGCTTTGTTAAGTTTTTAATACTTAAGAACTATAATTAAACCAGGAGGTGGCCGAGGAGTGGGCCGGAGACTTATGGTGAACAAAGTTATTTTCATTTTTTTTTTTTCACTAAAGATCATACAATGTCCAAATAATTACATTAAGCTAAGAAATTTTCACTTATATTATAAATTTTAGTATTTTAGTTAAATTATTGGATAAACAGAAAATAATTTAAAAAACTTTAAAAACGCGGAGTTGTTCAAGTTCTCATAAAACGCTGATGACGTTTCATAACAAGCTCGTGACGTTTTAAATATAAAAATATTTTATGATGAAATGTAAAGGTTATAGATTAATTATAATATAGTCTAAAGTATTATATTCTTTTTATTTTTTAAACCTAATGCCCCACATTCTGAATGACATCAACTTTAATTTTTTTATACCAAAAATAATTATGATATAAAAAACGCGAAGAAAAAAGAAAACAAAGCTTGGACTAATTTATATATTACAAATCATCACGTTACAGAGCTCACTTTCACTCAGTTACATTCTCTTTAGCCTCTAGGGCAGTTTCTGACATTATTCCGATTGGTAGAAACTGTCTTGCAATTATGGCATGACCATTTTTCTTTTTTTTTTTGTTCTTTCGCATAAGTTTTCAAAAGAGCAAGAGGGTCTTCCAACTCCATTAATTGTAGGCTTTAGCGTAATGTACGTATACTGAAAATCTTAAGCAAGTCAATTTTCATTGTTTTTCTCAAAATGAATAATATCATTGTTTGCAGCTATTCACTTTTTACGGTTTTTATAATGTTTTTAAACTCACAATTTTTTAATTTAATATCTACTGAAGCTAGAAGAGCTAATACTGATGAAAAATTAATTTATCATTAGAAACTAGTTTAGTTAGTCTTATAAGTGTGTGAATTTCACCAATTTTCATGTCACAGCTAAAATAAAAAAAATAAAAAAGTACTGTTTAAACAGTACAATGTGCATTGAATTTTATTGTTGAAAAATTAACGCGTTTTTGTTTGGGTGAATTAAAACCATGACGTTTAAAATAAGTATTTCGATTTTAAGCGAATAATACGACTTGAAACTTGTACTTTTAAAATGTCAAATAAACTCAAAAGGGGAAATTAAGTTGTTATAAAGCCCGTTTATAAATGTGTTATAAATGTTGATCTTTCCTTTATATTATTATTTATTTTTTTTCAAAGAAGACCAAACAGTCTTATAGTAGAATAAACCAACTGAAATTTCAACCACGGAAGGGCATTTAACAAGGATGTTTACGACTCTTCCCGTACCAAGGTCGCTTATCTGACCTCTTTTTTTATATATTACTCTCGAGTCCTTATTACAAGGTGGGGATGGGGGAAATGGACGGTAAAAATACAGACTAGTAGGTTGAAATGAGTATCGCCAATAATCGGTTAAAAATCAAATTATCTCAAATTGGTTAAAAATAAAAGCCTCTAAAATCGGTTGAGAAGATAATTGGTCGCAAATGAAAACGTCATAAATCGGTTGAATTAAAAAAAGACTATAATAGGTTGAAAACAATTTAGGCCTCAGTAGGATATCTAAAAGTTATTTCTTTTTTTTAGTAGATGTAGTATTGAGCTATGCGACACGAAATAAGTAATTTAAAAAACATGGAACCGCAATTAATTTTTGTGGTTTTGAAAAATACTATTATACTCAAATTAATTTTTTAATTAGACAATAGAGTATTACGACTATGCTTTATCGTATGATTTTTGAAATAATAAATTTTCATTTTCTAGGTTTTGTCCACCACCTGGCCCACTGTGGCTGGATTTAACTGCAAGTGTGTGTTATTGCAGGTGCAAAGGTCATAATGATATTTATAATTTGATAATGAAACTTTCATTTCTTTTTTAGTAATCCTAAGAATTTATGGTAAAAATGATTCGTCGTTCTTATTTTGTTCCGGATATAAGTTCGGCCTTGTCGGGTATTTTTGTAGGCTGGCGCTTAAGAACGTTCTTACAACAAGTTTGTACTGAATTTTTTTTGATGCCATTTTCTTGAATATATTTTTTAAATATAAGAAAAAATAAAATATAATTTTTATAACATGTCTAAAATTATTTTTCTCCGGTTTTTTAAATATTTATTTTTAATATTTTTTGAAAACTTCAAAAAAGTTTTATGATTACCTCATATTTGCATAAACGTCTTCAAGCGTTTCAAAACAAATGTTCTAGCTATTTTCCACTGTATTAGTTTTTAAAAAATACAATTTTTTGATAAAGCCCTAAGTCATTTTTAAAAGTTAAAAATGACTAGAAAGTTGAAAGAATGATCATTTAAGAATGAAAGAATGAAAACGAAACTGAAAAAATGACTTTAAAAGCTCTTTTTATATATTATTATTTTTTCTTGTTTTAAATTGTAATTAATTCTTGATATTAATTCAGCATTGACAAAATGACTCTGGATCTCATAAACAATTTGAAGTCGCTGCAGCTACTACCCCCCCCCCCCTCGCTAATGCGTTTATGTACCGTTTGCTCTTCTTATTTCAACGTTAAATAAAGTTATTTTATAATTGGAATTAGCTTACGTACTCTTTTTTTTTTTTTTTTTTTTTAATGTTATTTAGGTGCTCCCAGACGTCCTTACGGTCTTATCGCGGAGCACCGCGGGAGAGCATTTGACTGGAAGTTCACGCATCCTTCCAACCAATGTCGCTTATTGGGCTAGAGCCGGGGTCGAACCCCGGACCTCTGGGTTCTGAGCCAGAACTCTAGCCACTGCGCCACGGCTGCTCAATTTTCGTCTGTGTCACAATTAAAAGACACATAAACTTGTTTAAATCATTATTTATAAATAGAAATGAAACATTTACTAATGTAATTATTGTAATTATTATCATAAATATAACAGCTACTAATTTAATAATAACAAATATTAATACAAACACAATAACAAATTTATGTTTTCTAAAGTCTCTATAAAAATAATCTTCTTTGAGACCAAGGTTGACATACTTTTAAATAATTTATTTTTTGGTTTTACCCCGAATACTACCAAATATCTTTAAAACTTTATTCGACAGTGAAAGATGACTTGAATAATTGCTCGACAATAGAATTTTTTGTTGTTGTTATTGGGCTGTATAATTATTTTTGAATATAATTCTTATTAAATTCTGGTAGTTAATTTAATTGGTTGCATTAATACTATTTCTAAATAATGTAATGCAATTACTTCAAACCATAGGTTGATAAAAAAAAGTTAAAATAAAAACAGTATTATACAAAAACAATTTTTAATTATTCAAAAATTTAAGTATATCACAATTAAATACCATATATAAATATGTTATTATTTTTAAATAATATAATATATACTACTAATATAGCAGTTCAAACTTTATACACAAATTTGTATCATTTATATACATGTGGCCGAATATTAAAACTCACGTGTAAGTTTTATTAGACCATATCATAATTCCTATTTATAAACTGAAATTTAAGCATAAGTAATGCTCTTTTTTTTAATTTTGTATTTGTTAATCGAATGATTAATCGTTAATCAACAACGCTTCTTTTGCAATTCTCAAAAAGGTATAACAGTCTACGCTACAGTTTGTAATATCAGAAAAATGCAGAATTAATCGCATGTTTGAATACAGTAACTTGTATTTAATTTTGATTGTAATAGATGAGTGCGAGCAAGTTCAACTGTTTGAGTATCAAAGTGAATAAACATATCTCCTTTAAAGTTCTCAATATCAGCTCTACAAACAATACATCGTAAAGTTTGGTTATTTTTTAAACATGTGGCAATATAAGTCCATGCACACCTACCGCACATCACTGAATGGTGACAAGGGTAAGTAATTGTCTGTGCCTCGTATTCGTAACAAACAAGGCAACTATTTGAATCCGAAGTTAGCTGATCTTTAATGTACTGTTTTTCTTTGCATTTCGACATGAGGTATGATAATTCAAGACAGTTTAATTGCAATAAAGACTCCATTGTTTGAGATAAGTATCTTTTAGAAACCATTGTTACTGTGCAATAAATTAACAACAATAATATAAGTTGAATAAAACAAAAAAGGATAACGTAACTTAATACTTCCTTTCCACACTTTATAAAAGTCCATTCACTGATTATGTAGTTCAATATAAAAATGAACGGAGCAAGTAAGCCTAACAAAAAGTGATGTTTGAACAAGAGTTTAATTTGTTTCATGACGACCATTTTTTCCATGACAACTAATCCAATGTGAACAATATAATATCTAAAAATAAAAGTAAAAGTTTTTTTTTTAATTTTAAGAATATATTATAAAATATTATTATTATAATGTGTTTGTTATTTTGTTAACTGTTCGTCGCCGAATGCGCACTTTAAAATTGATAAAGCTTTAAACTATTTGCTAACAGTTGTTTAAATATTATCATAGCTAAAAAAAATCATTTTTGTAGCCTGTCTTCGAAGACTTTTCTTACAATACATCCAATTACTACAATTTGTTTAATAACAATCTCGTGAGCAATCGCATTTGTTTATTTTGTTTATCTTATTTTACTTATAGGCGATTTTTCTGATCTATTGTTATAAAAAAATTTACTCGTTATTTTTTCTAATTTAGTTATGTTTATTTTAAAAAGCGTTTGGCAAATCAAGACTTTTAAAATTTTTTTTACAAAAAGCAATTTAAGTTACGCACTTGCAATTTTACGTTTGACGATAATTTGCTGTACAACTTTGTGCGGCATAGATTATGTTTTTTTTTGTTTGTTTTTTTTTTCTTTGTGCAAAATTTTTTTAATTTTTAATCGATTTTAAGTGTTTAACTTTAACTTAAATACACACTTAAAAATATACAAAGTTTCACGAAAAATATACAAGGTTATATGAAAATATACAGGGAGGGGGTGGGTGGAAGGGGTGAGGTATGCATCCCCTCTTCCCCTCAGAATTTCAAAGTCCTAAAAATATCTTTTTAGGACTTTAAAAAAGAGCTTTTTTCTTTTTTTAGAAGACGCAAATATGGTACAAAATGCAAAAATATTTCAATATTCTCCCCCACCAAACAATCCTGGATCCGTCACTGGGTTTTTTTGATGTTGTTAAATTTTCGGCCTCCTCAAATTTTCTGTATTTTTTTAATATTAAAAATGGCCATAAAACCCTTGGATGTGAATTTTACTATCAGTGAACTTAAATCTTTCTAAAACTTTTTGCGCTGGTCAATAATCTTTTTTCAAAATTAAATTTAAAATTTCTGGTAAAAGTTATGAGTTGAAAACAGAAACGGCGGACTAAAAAAAATACGCTAAATCTTAATTTAGTAAATGGGGCTTTTGTTTTTCTTTTTGTTATTTCATTAATTTTAAATATTTGTAAGTATTATGTTTAAGTTATAGATGAACATGGAACACATCTTATAAAGTCTAGAAGTTTTAAAAAATAATATTTTAGTCAATTGCAATTACATTTATACGTACGCGTTAAATAACATTGAAACTACAATACCTTCCGCTCAACACATCAATGAATAAAGTTGATTAGTAAAAGTTTCAAATTGTTAATACTTTTGACCATCATCTCAATGATAATACTACCATCATCACCCGTTACTACATCGTCTAGGGAAAAGTCTTCTGAATCTACACCAACAAGCATTTAGCATCCGTCTTATAGCATCAGCTCCAAAGTCAACTTAAAAGCTAAATTGTCTGCTGGGTGGTAAAGTTTTAACAAACCTCCAACAAGCCAAAATTTGTGAAGATATCAGTGTAAAAAATAAAAAAAAGCAAGATTTGGCTTTATCAAATAATTTATATTTGACAAAGCTAAAACGTTATAGTAAAAAAACTTTTTTTACCACATAAAGTTCCGCATAAAGTGACAACTTAACTGCACAAGTGACAATTCAACTACATAACTAACTTAGCCTTAAGAACCTCTCAACAACTCAATATCATCACAAGAATAAAAAGAAATTTAAGTGTTTAACTAACTATTGGTTGTTCTTTTTTAATTAAGTTTTCTTTTAATTATCCTACTGAATTGCATATTTCAGTCTATCCAAATAAAAGGGTGGTATAAAGCAGTTTTTTTTCCTGTAAACTTTATTGATAAGTTTCGTTAAAAATTTTAAACGTAAAGAATGTTGTGAACATTAAAATTCAAACCGCAAAAGGTTAAAAGAAAAATGGCTAAATTCATTATTTTAAAAATGATGAATAAAAGATAGGTTCAAAGGATAAAAAGAAAGATGACAGAAATATAGAGTAAAAGATGACTACAAAAAATGGTGCAAGAAATTAAAAAAAAAAAAAAAAAAAACAATTGAAAAAAAGACAAACATGATAAATAAAAGACGACCACAAATGATGGAATAAAACATGACTAAAATGACGAATGAAAATGAATAAAAAACATGGTATCGAATAAAAATGTTAAAAATATATTGAAAGCTGTATGGTTGTAAATAAACTGAAGAAAGCAAAAACTTTCAAAGAAACAAAAACTTTATTATTAAAATTTTTACATGAAATGATATATAATTATAAAGCCAAAATAAATAAAACAACAAATATAATCAATGTAAATATTTGAAATGTTTTTACTGGTATGATAGCAGTAACCTTTACTTATTGCCTATCATCGATTAACAATATTTTCAGGAATTGCAACTTCTCGTATTTATATATTGTTTAATGTATAACGGATGTATAAAACAGATGAAAGTTTATTAAGCGGTAAACATTAAGGTAATTTTAAGTAGTCTCTAAGCTCGGTTGCCAGTAATTAAAAACATTTAAACAGCTAACTAGTATATTTTAATATATTAAATTTTAGTAAAATAATTTCTAATAACACATACACAACTTTATGCTCGATAGATTTTAAAGATATACTTTTTAAAAGCATTATCAGTTATAAGTATTAAAAGCATTTTTATTATAATAATTAAGCAGAATCAAAATTTTTTAATAAAACGTTCAGTAAGCGTATGGGAAATCGGCTAGCGAATAGCTAGCTATAATCGCAACAATAAGACAGCGATTTGACCAGGAGGACAGCTAACTTAATAAGCCAAAGACCCACTGGCAATTGTAGCTAGCGTCATTTCGTAATAATATCACAGTCTAACAAATTATGATAAGTAGCTATCAATCAACAATATTTAGTATATGTAGATATAGCTACACATTGCTACAAAATTGCAATGTTTAAAGTTCAACTACTCTCATAATTATAATAGACTCAACACTAAAAATCGAATTTTTAAAGATGTTAAAGACATTGGAAAAAAATAAAATAAGAAAAAAATAACCGCTTGAAAATCGCTATAAAGCTAGCTAGTCGCTAGTTCATTTCCCACCGGGTAAATGCTTTTTCGAAGTCTACTCATGCTTATTATTAGACGATATTTCGACTGATTTTTTTTCCCCCTAAACTTCGGGAAGTTGCGACTTCGCAAAGTTCACGGGAAAAAAGTAGAATGAAATATCTTCTAGCTTATTATAAATTATTGGTATAAGAAATACTCATTGTAGTTAAGGTGCTTTTCAAGAAGTTGCTGTCAGTCGGTTAGTCAAGATGAAAGATTGTCTAAAGTGAAAATATCAAAAAACTGTGAACTACAAGCAATCTTTTAAAATTTATTAAAAATGCAATGACTAGCAAGATTTTTATGTTATGTAATTTAATATAATATAATTGCGGTATATAATGGAATCGTAGCTTTAATTTCCAGACCTTTGAAATCTTAAATTCTTTAATGCTATTTTTAAGTGAGAACTTTGGTCGGTGCTGGAATTATTTTCACTCTTGCAAAAACATTAAGACAATAGAATATTCCTCATGGAAATAGAAGAAAAAGAGCTACTATTACCAGCATATAGATTTTTTGTTTACTTTTACTTATTAAGTGGAGAACATTATAGTTTTGAGTAAAATAAACATGCTTTTTAGGAAATTTATGGGGTTAAATAACTTAAAGAAGTTTTAGCTCTTTTGATCTATTATCATGTCCAGGACGTTTTTTAAATTTTCATTTTTTTAATTTTATTTAAAACCTAAGCTATAGATTGTCAAAGATTTTTATAAGAATTTCGATTTATGTTTTACTGATTTACCTAACGAAGTTTAGTGTAATGATCGAGAAAAAGGTCTACCTTTTTCTTGATTAAAAAAAAGCGACAAAAAACAATTTTTTTTTGTTGTTGTTTTGCTGTCGCCATCTTTAGTGTTGAAAAATCGGCTAAGTATTATTTATTTTAAATTAATCTAAGTCTACTTGTTAACAAGTATTATATATTTTAAGTTAATCTAAAACTACTTGTCAACAAAGAAAATTTATTTTGTTGATGAAACTATATGCATATTCCGCAAACATCTAGATTATAATTCTGATTACTTATAGCATTTATTATACATATTAGTTATAATTGTAACTGAAGAAAATTTGAATTTTGACATTAATTTGTAAATTAGAATTTACCTGGTTCAAAAATATCTTATAGTTCAAAATCTGAATAAAACATACCTGATAAATAAAATATCTCATAAATCAGACAATTTTAATGATAATTCACAATTTCGAAAATGAAAAACCTCACAACAGTTTTTGTATCTAAAAAAAACAAAAGTAATTTCAAGATTTTTTTTCAAAATAAATTTTTTTAAAAAAAACCTTGAAAAATTTTTTTAAAAAGTGACTTACAATGAAACAGGTTGTGCTTGTCTTTTAATATTTTTTATCATTAAATTTTCTTTGAAGTTCTTTTAAATTGTGACATATCTTTATTAATTTATGCTTCAAGTCCCTAATTATCCAATTAAGACATCCTTAAGAAATTAATTCACAGTAATGGTTGATACGTTGGAGTAATGGTTGATACGTTGGATTTAAATGACAGCAGGACTCAAATTAATGAAATCTTTTATAATCGCGTTTTAATAACTTTATAATCGGCTTTTTTAATTGTCTCTTTGCATCGAGACAATTAAAAAAGACGTTTTAAAATTAAAAAAGCTAATATAAAAAGTAATTAGTAACAAAGTTTTTTATTATTTTTCAATATTTATTAGTTTCGATAAAAGTTGAAAATAATTTTTCTTTAGACCTTAAAGCTTAAAAGTATATTTTACGAGAAATAAAGTTTTTCTTCAGAATACCAAATATAATAATTAAACTTTTTTTTTCAGACCACGTGAAAAACGTTTTTTTTTAAAATAATTTTGTAAAACTTATTTTATAATATTTTAAAATGATTAATCTTGATAATTCTGTTTTATATCCTATTTAATTAGATTATTTATATTTAATTAAAGTTATCGCGTTTAATTGAATTGTTTTCGCACTGAAATTATGTTAATATTAGCTTAATTAACTTCTTTTATGACTTGCAGAGATGGCCATTAAAATAGAATCACAGCAAATAATTAAGAAAAATTAAACTACCTCTTGAATGTTCACACAAAATATCTATTATCAACACAAAAAGTGCTGTATAAAAAAGAACTTAATGCTGTAACTCACAGTGCTAAACATGCTGTGTTTTCTCCCATCTGCGGATTTCTTTAAAAAAGTAACCAGTTGTCGGCAATCCAGCTAATAAATTTAGCTATGTGATTTAATTAAAATATTTGAGTCGTTTCCGTTAAAAGTATTATTTTGTAGTTTAAGGATATCGATATTAGCAGTTTGTGTTAAACATTGTATATCTCATTAAATCGATTTTCCATTCAAAATGGTGTCCTCCAACCTAGAAAGAAAGTATAATTGATAAATTATACTTTCTTTCTTTTAACAGGAGGTAGTTAGACTCTTTTAGATACTTTTAACAGGAGGTAAGAGGTAGTAAAACACTTTTAACAGGA